GCCTGCCCTGTCCCGTCCCCCTCCCTGGGGTCCCTGCCCCATAGAGCGGGGTGGGGACACGGGGACGCCCCTGTCCCATCCCCCTCCCAGGGGTCCCTGCCCTCCTCGGGGTCCCTGCCCCATAGAGTGGTGTGGAGACATGGGGACAGCCCTATCCTGGCCCCTTCCATGGGGTCCCTGCCCCATAGAATGGAGTGGGGACATGGGGACAGCCCTGTCCCATCCCCCTCCCTGGGGTCCCAGCCCCACAGAGTGGTGTGGGGACACGGGGACAGACAGCCCTGTCCTGGCCCCTTCCATGGGGTCCCTGCCCTCCCCGGGGTCCCTGCCCCATAGAGTGATGGGGGGACACGGGGACAGCCCTGTCCTGACCCCTTCCATGGGGTCCCTGCCCCATAGAGTGGTGTGGGGACATGGGGACAGCCCTGTCCTGGCCCCTTCCATGGGTTCCCTGCCCCAGAGAGTGGTGTGGGGACATGGGGACAGCCCTGTCCTGGCCCCTTCCATGGGGTTCCCTGCCCCAGAGAGTGGTGTGGGGACATGGGGACAGCCCTGTCCTGGCCCCTTCCATGGGGTTTCTGCCCCATAGCCCAATGTGGGGACATGGGGACAGCCCTGTCCTGGCCCCTTCCATGGGGTTCCCTGCCCCAGAGAGTGGTGTGGGGACATGGGGACAGCCCTGTCCTGGCCCCCTCCCTGGGTGCTCTGAGGAGAGGAGCACATCCCCGCTGAGATCCGGGTCCCCGGGCTGCGCCGGGGTGTCCCCACCGCCACCCCGGGGTCACCCCAACCGCTCACCCTGATCCCCTCACCTCGATCCTCGTCTTCCCCAAGGGAAGGTGCCAGCCAGCAGCATCCTGGCCAGCGCTCCCTCGGACAAAAACGGGTGGGGCGCGGGGGGGGGGGGGGGGGAAAAAAGCCACTCTGCTCGGTGGGTGGCATGTTGGGGTGCCCCTCGCTACGATTTCGGGGCACCCTTTGACCCCAGCGCTGGGTTTTGCCTCGTCCTTCCCAGGTCTGGGTGAAATCCAGGGAGATCCTCGGTGGCTTTGCGACTGGAGCGGGTCCCCAGGCTTTGTCCCTGCGTGGGGGGTGGGTGGGTGCTGGGGGTGAGGGGTGCCGGGTTGTGACACCCCCTCCCTGGCTGTGAGCAGGAGTCGGGCTGCCGGACCACGCACTGCAACCTTGAGGTGCTGCAGGAGAGCACCCTGGTCTTCCTGGCCACCAAACCCCACGTCCTGCCGGGCGTCCTGCAGGAGATCCGTCCTGCTGTGGGATCCCACCACGTCGTCGTCTCGCTGGTGGCCGGCGTCACCCTCCAGACACTGCAGCGGGTGAGCCTCCTCCTCTTCTTCCTCCTCCTCCTCTTCCTTCTCCTCCCACTTGCACCTGGACCCATGGAGAAAGACCTCTTCTTCTTCCTCCTCCTCCTTTTCCTTCTCCAACTTCCACCCAGACCCGTGGAGAAGGACCTCGACCTCTTCTTCTTCCTCCTCCTCCTCTTCCTTCTTCTCCCATTTGCACCCAGACCTGTGGAGAAGAACCTCTTCTTCTTCCTCCTCCTCTTCCTTCTCCTCCCAACTTCCACCCAGACCTGTGGAGAAGGACCTCTTCTTCTTCTTCCTCCTCCTCTTCCTTCTCCTCCCACTTCCACCCGGACCCGTGGAGAAGGACCTCTTTGTCTTCTTCCTCCTCCTCTTCCTTCTCCTCCCACTTGCACCCAGACCTGTGGAGAAGGACCTCTTCTTCTTCCTCTTCCTCCTCTTCCTTCTCCTCCCAACTTCCACCCGGACCCGTGGAGAAGGACACGCCACTGTGGCTCTGTCCCCACCCGGGTTGTGTCCCCAGGTCATTTCTCACGGACCGAGCTTCTCTGCCAGCCCCAAACAGGTCTCAGGACACCCTTGGGTGCTGCCCGGAGCTGGCACCCCTCTCCCATCTCCATCTCTTCCCAGCTTCTCCCTGTTGGGACCAAGGTGCTGCGGCTCATGCCCAACCTGCCGTGCGTGGTGCAGGCAGGGGCGATGGTCTTCGCCCGGGGCAGCAGTGCCGGTGATGGAGAAGCCGCCCTGCTGAAGAACCTGCTGTCCTCCTGCGGGCTGTGCGAGGAGGTCCTTGAATCCCACATCGACATCCACACCGGTCTCAGCGGCAGCGGGGTGGCCTACGTAAGCGCTCGCGGGACACGGGATGCCAGGAAAAAGCCCACCCATGATGGGTTGGGGTTTGGGGGTCCCCCCCTTTTGCCACGCTCACAGAATCCCAGAATGGTGGGGGTTGGAAGAGACCTCTGTGGGTCACCCAGTCCAACCCCCCTGGGCAGCCTGGGCCAGGGCTCCGTCACCCTCAAAGTGAAGAAGTTCTTCCTCATGTTCAGGTGGAGCTTCCTCTGCTTCAGTTTGTGCCCGTTGCCCCTTGTCCTGTCACTGGGCACCACTGCAAAGAGCCTGGCCCCGTCCTCCTGCCCCCCACCCTGCAGATATTGAGAGGCATTTCTAAGGTCCCCTCTCAGCCTTCTCTTCTCCAGGCTGAACAAGCCCAGCTCCCTCAGCCTTTCCTTGTAGGAGAGATGCTCCAGTCCCCTCATCATCCTCGTAGCCCTGCGCTGGACTCTCTCCAGTAGCTCCTCACTCCCGATGCTCTTCTCGCCCAGGTCTACCTGTTTGCCGAAGCTTTGGCCGAGGGAGCAGTGAAGATGGGGATGCCGGGCGGCTTAGCCAGCAGGATCGCGGCTCAGACGTTGCTGGTGAGTCGGTGCCATCACTCCTGTCCCACAGCTCCCACCAGGCTCGGGCACCTTGTCACCGTCGCTGCCCTGGGCTTTGTGGCACCCGAGCAAGGGAGGACATGCTCAATGTCCTCCTGCCTCAGTTTCCCCTCTTGAAACCGAAGATGAAGCCACCAGGAGACAGCAAAGGGCATGGCGGTGGGACAGGTGCTTTGGCGTGTTGTCCCCTGCCGCAGGGGCGTAGGCGATGGTAGGATGCCGCCATTCAAACCCTGGCATGGTGAGGGGAGGCGTTTGGGAGGTCCCCTTCTCTCTGACCCACCCTGGTCTCCCATAGGGTGCAGCGAAGATGATGCTGGAGACGGGGGAGCACCCGGCGAAGCTGCGAGGAGATGTCTGCACCCCTGGGGGCACCACCATCCATGCACTCCACCAGCTGGAGAAGGGTGCGCTGCGAGCCACCGTCATGGACGCCGTGGAGGTGGCCACCAACCGGGCACGCGACATGGCCAAGGATTAGCAGCGTGGCTGCTGATGAGCCCCTGCGTCCCGTCCCCCATGGGGCAGGAGGGGCGATGGGGACCAGACCGAACCGTTTCAGGGAGCAGGACACCCCCAGGAGATCCTGGCTGGGGGTGGGAGATGGTGTTGGACCCATGTCCACTCCGCGGGCTACCTCTGCAGGGCTGGGACCAAATAAACGTGGGCAGCACGATGGTAGGCTTGGCTCTTTCTGGTCCCTTCAGTCTTCTGGGGGCTACTGCACCCGGCACGGGGTCACCTCCATGGGGAGGTGATGGCCATGGGTCCCTAGGCCAGCAGGGATGGAGCTGATGCCACCCTGGCTCTACGCTGTGGACAGGGTTGGGGTTTTGGGGACAGGGATGGGTTTTCGGGGACGTGGTGATCTCAAATCAAGGCTGCTGGGGCTGGGCAGAGCGGCTGCAACCCTGTGGCAGGAGACAAGGACCATCGCAGGTGCCCTGAGGATGCTGAGGGACCTTGAGAAGTGGGGAGCTGGCAGGACGATGCTCTGGGGGCCAGCACGGAGCAAGGCTTTGATTTCCCAACTCGATGCCGAGCAGGGGTGCTTGGGTTACCCGTGGGCACCGATGCCCGCTCCTCTGCTCAAGCTCTGGAGATGCGAACTTGGAGGTGCTCTCCGCATCCCAGAACCGCGGGCGAGAAGTCAACCAGCCGAGAAACCTCCACCTCCCACCCTGGCCAGGCACCAGCATCAGACCGCGGTCCTGCAGACGGGTCTTGCTCCGGCAGCGAGGCGGTGGGGTGGAAGCCCAGACCCACTTCTCAGCCCCGAGGTGCTGCACATCAAGGCAGGAGAAACTCAAAGCTTGCCTATCTGGAGAGGATCCGAGCCTTCTGCGCACCCTAATTAAGCTTCGTTTGCCTCCCGGCACCTGCATGGATGCAATTAGTGATGGTTTGCGAACTGCTTTGAAGATGAAAGGCTTTTTCCGGGCAAAACATCGCTGGCGAAACAGCTGGATGCTGAGCTCCTACGGCTTTGACCCCGTCCCCAGGGATGCCATCACCCCAGATGCCAGTGGCACCAAGCCAAGAGAGATGCCGCAGCCCTATGGCCAAGGCATGACCTCCTTTGGGCACCTCAAGGCACCTAATTAATTAGCAACGCTCCAGAAAAGCTGGAGAAGGAGCTCGAGCTTGCCAGTCTCTCCTGCCCATCTCTACGCTTCGCCATGTCGCCAGGGGAGGGGCTCGTGGCAACTACACGGCGCGAGGAAGCAGCGGTCCTCAAGGTTTCCAAGCCACCCAGTAGCTCCTTTGTCCTTCTTCTGCCTGCTTTTATCCCTGCCTTGTCCCCAGGTGCCCGCCAAGGTGATTTTGCCGATCTCTCTACAACATGCAGCCTTTGGATTTCATCCTTGGGCATCTCCATCTCTTCTGCGTCCTCTGCACCAGTCTTCAACAGATCTGGTTGAAAATCTTCGGCTAAATCCAGCTCCACCACAGAACTGCAGAATCCCAGCATGGTAGGGGTTGGAAGGGACCTCTGTGGATCATCTAGTCCAACCCCCCT